CCTCCTTGCACCTGGCTGGGCAGGAGGGACCCACAGGCTGGTGAGAGGAGGTGAGGGGGACAGAAAGAGGGTCAACAGCAGGGGGACTAGGCCCTTCTTCTCTACCAAGGCTTCCAGCCTGGAGAAGCCTCACCTGGGGCTCCCATCCAACACCAAGTTCCGAGATTTGAACGTGATGCTGATCGGGACCTGAGTCCGGGGCAGGATTCTCAGCCAGGGGCAAGGCAGAGTCCACCACAGAATAAACTTTCAAAGAGCGGAAGGAGAAGCCAAGTTATGTTTTGTTTGTTTGTTTGTTTTTGTTTTTTCTGCGGTACGCGGGCCTCTCACTGTTGTGGCCTCTCCGGTTGCAGAGCACAGGCTCCGGACGCGCAGGCTCAGCGGCCATGGCCCATGGGCCCAGCCACTCCGTGGCATGTGGGATCTTCCCGGACTGGGGCACGAACCCGTGTCCCCTGCATCGGCAGGCGGACTCTCAACCACTGCACCACCAAGGAAGCCCCCAAGTTATATTTTGATCAACATCCAAACGGCATGCATTTTTGCTTTACACCCTGGGGCTCTGATGAGGAACCGTGATGCTAGAATGAACTAACCTGTGGGAACAGAGGAGGAAGTCTGTATTTCTGCCTAGGAAGTTTGAGGGGGGATTCTCAGAGCTGAGTCCTATGGAAACAGACAACTTGTAACTCCTGTTATCTGTTCTCACTGCACATGAATGGTCTTACTGAAATCTCGGGACTTCCCTGGTGAGGCAGCAGATAAGACTCTGCCCTCCCAGTGCAGGGGGCCCGGGTTCGACCTGTGGTCGGGGAACTAGATCCCACATGCAAGCCACAACTAAGAGTTCACATGCCATAACTAAGGAGCCCGCGAGCCACAACTAAGGAGCCCACCTGATGCAACTAAGAACTGGCGCAACCAAAGTAAATAAAAAAAGAAGAAAAATCTTAGACCCACCCTTTGAGGGATGCATTACCATCCCTTTCTACAGCTGAGGCCATCTAGGTACCACCAGGGGAAGTGGCTTGCTCAAGGTCACAGCTGGTGGCAGGTGCACTTTGGCCACATCCCCTCGGTACTTGCTGGTCCGTGCACACCCCCAGTTGCCTTTGCTGCAGGACTGTGCTTGGCTTATCCACTGGACAGATCAGAAGGACTGGGGAACCACAGTGAGATACCACTTCCCACCCATTAGGATGGCAATCACCATAATAATAAAACAAAATAAATATTGGCAAGGATGTGGAGAAATTGCAAACCTGAAACCCTTGTACATTGCTGGTGGGAATGTATTGATAAAATGGTGCAGCTGCCATGGAAAACAGTCTGACAATTCCTCAAAAAGTTGAACATGGAATTACCATGGGACTCAACAATTCCACTCCAAGGTATATACCCAAAAGAAATGAAAGCATGTTCATACAACAACTTGTACCTGAATGCTCATGGCAGCATTATTCATAAGAGCCAAAATGTGGAAACAACCCAAATGTCTATCCATTGATGAATGGGTAAACAAACTGATATAGCCTTACAATGGAATATTACTCAGACGATGGCCTGAACAGTATGGCGGTTCCTCAGAAAATTAAAAATAGAACTACCTATAACATTATAAATCAACTATATTTCAATAAAAATTTTTAAAAAATAAAAATAGAACTACCATATGATCCAGGAATTCCACTTCTGGGTATTTATCTGAAGGAAACAAAGTTGTTCTCTTGAAAAGACATCTGGGAATTCCCTGGCGGTCCAGTGGACTTGGCACTCTCTCTGCAGGGGCCAGGTTCAATTCTTTGTGCTCCTAGCCCTGTTACAACCTGGTAGATGAAATCCTCTGGTAACCTCTTGTAAAAGCAGTAGGAAGGGAATTCTGGGCTGGAGGAACAGCATGTGCAGAATGTTCAGAGAATAAGAGAAGTTCATTCATTCAACACATATGTATTGACCATCTGCCTATAATGACCAGACATTGATTCAGATGCTGGAGCTGAGAGGGTCCCTGGCCTTCTGGAGCTCACGCAAATGAACGTGACACAGGTCAATCAAAAGAATTTCAGCAAGTGAATGAAGTTTCAGTAATGAAACCATTAGAGCAAGTGACAGGGAACGTTTAGGGTGTGGCCCAGGATGGAAGGAGTCAGGGAGTCAGGGAGCGTCCGGGAAAGCTTTTAGGAAGAGGCTCAGGCCACTAAGAAAGGGCTGGCCATATCAGGGACGAGAAGAGCATTCCAGGTCAAGGGAACTGCAAGGTGGTCACGCCAGACCTCAGAATGAGGGGCGAGCAGGCATGATGCCATGGAGTGGGGTTTGGGTATTTCTGCCCTGGGTCCACAGCCTCTGGTCTGCAGTGGGGCTATTCCCTGACCTTCTTGAGACTGCCTGGCACCCTGGAGGAAGCCCTGCCCTTCCTGGTAGCTGCAGCAAAGGGATGGGGAACATCTGCTTCCCTTTCTTTCAAGAAAGCACAAAGGGAACATAGACTAGGGGGTGCGTGCTTCTTCTGCCAAACTGCCCCCTATTATCACCCCATTCTCATCTCAGGAAATGGCCCTCCACCCTCCTAGGACCTCAGAGCAAGACCAAGGAGTTGACCTTGACTCTGCCTGCCCCCCCATCCCAGCAAACACAGTTGGACCTGCTGCCAAAATAAATGCCAAATTGGACCGTATTTCCCCAGTGCCATTGCCCACTCCAGGCTCCATCATTGCTCCCCCGCACTGGAGCAGTCACCTCCTCTCCCGTCTCCTGGCTTCCTTCTACCCTGTCCTCCCCACTACCTGACTCTAGCTCCTGCTGTCTTAGGAGGGTGCCTGTAAAGGCCTGCGTCAGGGCGTGTCCCTGCTCTGCTCAGACCCCTCCATGGCTCCCACCTCACTGAGAGGAAAGGCCAAGGTTCTCCCCAGGCCATGCTCTACCCCATTCCCTCCTTCCCTCCTCTCCTCCAATCCTCTCCCTCCCTTACTGCATTCCAGCAACACTAGCCTCCTGGCTGTTCCTTAAGGCAGCTCCTTCCTACCTCAGGGCCTTGGCACATTCAGTGCTCTCTGCTTGGTACATTCCTTCCCTGATATTGTCAGGACTCTCTGCTCTTTGCTCAAATGTCACCTTCTCAGTCTTTCCCAGAATACTCTATTTAAAGGTTTATTAACCTTCACATTTCCTATTCCCTTCCCTGCTTTACTCTCTCTTAGCACTAATCACAAGCTATGTCTCCATATAGCTTATTTTTGTTTCTGTCGTCCGGACTAAGACGATCTCTGCATGATGGTAGGGATTTTGGTCTATTCTGTTCATTGCTGCGTCCCCAGCACCTGGAACGATGCCTGGCACACAGCAGGCTCTCAATCGACGCTGCGTAGCAAGTGTTGAGAGACAGAAGGAAGAAGCACGATTTTACCGCTGTAAGGGGGACCAGAGCCGCGCGGGGGAGCTCGCCGCCCGCGCACTTGGGACAGAGGCCAAAGTAAGCAGTGATTCGAACCTGGTAAAAATCCTCCGGAAAATGACCCCCCGGCGGAGGATTTTCCCAGACCCTCCCAGGGACGTCCCCGGCCCCCGCTCTGCGCCTTTGCCCAGTGCGTTTGGGCGGGAATTCAACACCTTCCACACTGCAAGAAGAAAGATCCCCGTGGAAATTCCTTAGGAACAATCGGGGCGGAGCGAGGGACTCTTCCGGCTGGCGAGTAATTCGCAGCCCCTTCCCCGGGAGGAAGGGGTCGAGCGTCCTTGAAGCCCCCTCCCTTCCCCGTCTGCTGCGCGACCTCCTTGGCCCTTCTGAGGTCTCCCTGGCGACGCGGCGCGCGCGCCACAACAGGAAGCCTTAGGCGGCTGGGTTCTGTGCTCGGAGACTCCAGGATCCCCAGCCCTGACGTGGTGGATGCCGAGTCTTGGGCGGTCACACGCGCAGGCGTGGCTTGGGGGGAGGCGGTGGCGTGGGACGGCCTATAGACGCGGCGCGGGACCTCACAATGTTCCCCAAACACCCTAATGGAACAAGCCGGGGCAAACACCCGTACAGATTTAGTGCTGGCGCCCGCGATTCGAGTTACGGGAGCTGCGAGCAGAGGACAGGGGTTTGAGCGCCCCCTCTCCCCGCCCCATTCCGGGGCCTGGGAGCTGCCTCAGTTTCCCTGCAGAAGGCAAGCATTCGAGCGCCCCCTCTCTCCTCCCCCGTCAAGGTCTGCGGCCTCAGTTTCCCCGCGGAGCCTGGGGACTGCAACGGAGGGGCTCGGCACGTCAGGACCACGCGCCTTCCTTCCTTTTTCTGGAAGCTGTAAAGACGCCCCCGCGCTGGTGGCCGAAAGGGGAAGCGAGGCCGCGGGGGAGTGGGAACCCCCCTCGGTGGGGGACGCGGAGCCCCGGACGTGATGCGCCTTACGTCCTCTCCCTCAGGGTTCACAGAAAGTGCCTGGGCTTTCTGCGGCCGCTTCTCAGAGAATCTCGGTGTCACTGGGCGGGGACATGCCCCTTTGGGGAGGGGCACCCTTGATCGAGAGCGCCCCAGGAAGATTCCTGGGGCCCCACCGAAACGAGGGACCGTCCACTCGGTTAAAGAGGCCTGCTTGCGCTGGGGAGTCAGACTGGAGTTCGAATGACCTCGCAGCTTGGAGCCTCAGTTTACCCCTCAGTTTAGTCCCTACCGTCCAGGGTGGTTGGCAGTATCCAATAAAGCACTGTGTAAACGCGGAATCAGGGGTAGCCGAGCCCGGGGGCGGGACCCCTACCTCCGGGAGCAGTCTCCGGGTTGTTTTCTGGCCGCTGCCGCCAGGCAGCCCTCACTACTTCAATTCGGAAATTCCGGTGCGAGAGCGGCCCGCGAGAGGGTACAACCCTGCTCGGCCCCGGCACCCTCTCAATCCGGAAATGCCAGAGCCCTCGTTCCGGAGAGGAAAGCGCGAGGTTTCCGGGAAGGCAGCACCGCCCCCTCGGCCCCCCTTGGCTGGCCGCTATAAAAGGACCCACAAGGTCCTCAGCTCCACAGTCCGCGCCCACGCCTCTGCGCCACCTCGTCCGCCCTGCCTCCGCCTGCGATGGTTCCCGGCGCTGCCCATCCCGCGCTGCTTGCGCTCCTGGCCCTGCTCGGGGCTCTGCTCCCAGGTGATCAGGGGTGGGGGGGCTGCCGTCGGGCTAGCTCTTGGGATCTGGGCTGCGCCCTGGGAGCGGTAGGAGGACCGGCTCCCCACCGGCTGGGGACACTGGTACTTAGGTAGCTGTTTATGGGAAGTTGGGGCTAGAGCCATCGATTGAAAGTCAACAGCCATGGGTTCAAATCCAGACCCTACATCATGGCTTGCTGTGTGCCTTCGGACTATGGGCTGCCTCTCCCAGAGGAGCTTCACTTTTTCAGTTGTAAAATGGAGAAGTTAATAGTGTTCACATCCCAGCGGTTGTGTCCTGGCCCCAGAAGGTGGTCAGACCGTGTAGAGATGTGGCCCCGTGCCAAGCTTAGGTAGACTGGGACCCCCCCCCCCCACACACACACACACACGCACAGACATTCTGTTCCTCATCCCGTGCCCTTGGGGGAAGTCCAGGACTCTGCTCAGGGGAATTCCAGGGCTGACTTGCCAAGGGAGCAGAGGCTAAGGAATGGGATGCCCCAGCAGCCCTTCATCAACTCCAGCTAGAAGGAGGGAGGGGAGAAGGCGGACAGTTGGTCTCAAATGATGGTCAGTGTCGGGAAGCAGGAGAGTGAAAAATTCATGAGCAGACCACACCGTGGTTACCAGCTCAATGAAGCGTTCTAATCCGGACTCTAATCTGGACTCTACCACTTTCTGGCTGAGTGACCTCCCTTCAGGTCTCACCATTTCCCTCTGTGAAATGGAAGCGACCCCAGAATCACCCTTGAGAATTCATGGAGCTGCTGTTTCCGCCCACCTCCATCCCAGATGGAGTAGACCCAAAGCTGAAGGCAGAGGTCTTTGGCGGGGTGGGGGGCAGCTTTCAGATGGGTGGGCTCAGACAGACTTTGCTTTTTAGCTTTGGAGGTACCACAGTCTGCGGGAGCTAATCCCAACAAGCCCCCTCCTTCTTACCTGCAGCCACATGCTACCTGCCCTGTGCTAGGAGTTACTTGCATCAGCAGGGGTTGGGGTGACTATATTCACCCACTTTACAGATGGGGAAAATGAGGTCCTGAGAGGGGAAACCAGTTGTCCAAGTGGGTAAGGAACCAGCCTGACTGGAACCCCTTTATCCCTGGAGGACTGACTCCCTCCACCTGACCTCTTGCGGGGGGGGGGGGAAGAACACTGACTTCATGCCCCTCTTTTGCTAAAATCCTCCATGGCTGCCCATTGTCCTCGCAATGAAGAACACTTCCTTGGCGTGGCTTAACACTGCTTTGCATGATCTTCCTGACCCCATTTCCCCCCAACTCATCCCTGTGACTCTGCTCCAGCCACCCTGCCTCAGGACCTTTGCACTTGCTGCTCCTTTTCCTGGAACTCATTTCCCTTTTCTCTCGATGGCCAGCCCCCGCTCATCATCCAGATCTCTGCTCACACACTACCCTGTCACCAAGGCACTGTCTGTTCTATCATCCCATTTTGTTTTTGCCAAAGCTCTTGTCAGCATCAGTTATTAATTATGTTGTGTGCTCGTGAATTTTTCTGTCTCCCACGCTGAAAGCAGAGTTTTGTCTTGTTCAAGGCTGTGTCCGCAGCACCCAGAACAGGCTGGATGCTGTAATGTTAATGAGCCCGATTTGTCATGTCTGACCCCTCCACATCTTTTGGTTCCAGGGCCTGGAGGTGCCCAAACGTCAGTGCATCCTCAAAAAGCCATCACATCCCGAGGAGCCTCCATAACGGTGAACTGCAGTACCTCCTGTGACCAACACACAATGTTGGGCCTAGAGACTCAGCTGGCTAAGAGGGAAGTAGACCATGGGAACAACTGGAAGGTTTTTGAACTGAGTGACGTGCAAAAAGACAGCTTTCCAATATGCTACTCGAGCTGTCTCGGTAACCAGTCATCAGCTTTGATGAACCTCACCGTATACTGTGAGTGGCTGGGCCCAGGGGCTGGACTAGGCAGCCTGGGTTGGGGAGGTGGACGAGGGAGTCCCCAGCAGGTTGGAACAGCCTTTGTTACTTGGGGGTGGGGGCGGGTAGGGTCTCACTGAAGGGCAAGGGGGCCCATCTTCTGAAAGTCTCATTGTCATCTAGAACCCTTCCTTGATCTTCCTTGGGGGTGACTTCCAAGTATGGACTCAGTCCTCAAAATGTCACATGTCTGGGTCCTTTGACACAGAAAACCCACTACTGGGAATTGGGCCTATAGGTGTCCCCACCCACCAGGGTACTGAGGGAGTGTGGGGCTATTCACTGTGGCTTGATCTGAAAGGGTAAAAGTTTGCAAGGCACTCAAATGTAGAGGGCTGGGGAGAGAAACTGTGGTTCAGTCATCCCGTGGAATAGTATGCAACCGTGTAAAAGAATGAGACAGGTGCTCCAAGATGTATTGTCAAGTTCAAAAGTAAGGTATGCCCAGAATGAGTGGCATGCCACCCACAGTGTTAGGGAGCCATGGGCTCGGGGTTAGGGAGGCTGTGTTTCTGCGTTAAAGGGCCCAGAAAGGAAATACAACAAATGACAATATAGCTGGCTGTGAGGAGAGAAGGTGCAGGGCTCTGGGAGAGCACAGGGAGCAAGTTTTCTCCATGTGCCTTTTTTTTACTTTGGGCATTTTGAAGTGTGACAGTGAGTTAGCATGACTGTAAGCAATACATAGGTAAATGAAATTCAAATGAAAACAAAACAAAATAAAAAAGGAAGAAAGAAAGAGAACTGGCCAACTGGCCTTGGGATCAGACAGCCTTGGGTTCTAGTCCCAGCATGGGCCTTACTAACTGGGTGACTCTGATGTGGGGAGCGGGGGAGGGGGGAATACGTGGCTTCCTGGTTGCTTTTCACATGAGACCTCCTCGGAAGGGTCTAATGATGCAGTGAGGCCTGGAGGACATTCCGCCTTCACAGGGCCTGCGTAAAAGAAGCTTTGGGGCAAACATCAGCTTTGTTTCTGATTTGGAGGATGTCTGAGCAGCTGCTGGCCAAGTGAGGGAAGTCCCCAAACATTCCCGGTGGCCTCTGAAAACCCCCAGAAAACCTTTTCACAGGACCTTCTGCATCTCACCCTGAGAGTTGAAAGCCCAGTCCTCCAGGTTTGAGTCCTGGCCCTGATATATTTCTCCCTCTTCGGGTGCCAGACTTTGCCTTAGTTTTCACCTCTGTGAAATGGAACAGACGGCTGCACACAGTAGCAAGGGGTCACCTAGGACAGACTCGAGCTTGGTCCTGCCCCACTGCCGGTGTAAAGATGAGGGAGCATCTCTGGGTGGCTGAGCTTTGTCTAGAAAGAGTTGTAATTCCTGCAGGAAGTGACCCCTAACTGGGCCTTGAAGGATGCGTAGGAGTTGGTAAAGACAGGCATTCTAGACAGAGGGAATAGCCTGGGCAAAGATTTGGAGTGGGGAAACATGCTGACCTGGGGTTGGGGAGGCAAGAGGGATTGAATATCAACAGATCGGTGTGGCTGGAGCTGAGTTTGGCAGGACTTTGAATGCCAGGCCGAGGAGCTGAGACTTTCTTCTTAGGGTGACAGGGAGCCATGGAGGGTGTGTGAGCAGGCCAGGGATCCAGAGCAGAGGGCTGACCTTACAGGAAGCCAGAGAGCAGCTGCCCATGGACCCAGTCCAGGTCGTGCATGTTGACCGCAGTTTCGCATACGAGAAGGGAGGGGCAGACAAATATTTGAAGAGTGGAGTGACCAGGACTTAGTGAGGGACTAAAGATGGGAAGTCAAGGAGAGGTACAGGCAGAACAGGCCTCCTCCCCCAGTCTGGCCTTCAGGGCAAGGATCTGGGCTCCAAGATGTGAGTTCCATTTGGAGGCTGTGGTTTGAGAGGGCCGCCAGCTCTGCAAGTTGGAGTTTGCAACAGATGGTCAGAAGTAAGAGTTGGACGTCTGAGGGTTTTCTCAACCTTTTTTTTTTTTTTTAACAGCTGTTAGCATACACTGCAATGAAGTTTGGAGTATTTATAGTGTTGTAGAAGTCTAGTTTAAGAACATATCTCTCACCTTAAAAAGTAACCACACACAAAAAAATTCAGATGTGGAAAACACAATATATTGGCTTCAAAATTTTTAAAAAGGCAAAATTAAAATGAATAAACATTTAATCAAAAGTCAAAAAAAAAGTAACCTCATGCCCATGTACAGTCACTCTCAACTTCTGAAGTGGATTAATAATAGTCCTAATAATAATAATAACGATAATAATAGTCCTACCTTCATTAGCCCCAGGTTACAGCTTAGAAAACTGAGGCATTTCTGTAGCCCCGAGGGCTGGGACTGTTCCAGTGTGCAAAGTCACTCCCCCACAGGCCATAACAAAGAACCAGCAGAGCCAGGAATCAACTCCAGGCTCCTGACATTTTAACATCACTGCTTTTTTTTTTTTCCCCCCCTTAGGTTGGAAAAGGAAAGGTTGCTTTATTCAGGAGGTTGGCAACCTGGGGAGAAGGTGGACTCATGTCCAAAAATCAACTCCCAACATCACTACTGTTTAAGTGACATTTCAGGGCCTCTTGAGAAGGGACTGAAAGTGGGAGGCTTCAAGACCCCTCCCTAGGGAGCCTGGGGTCGGGGAGTGAGTCTCAGCTCACCAGGGCTCTGCGGGCAATTTCCACTGGCGATCCAGGCTTGGAATTCTGTTACCTCATGCAGAATGGAGACCCCGGCAACCAAGCTCGCGCGTAGTGTTTTCAGGGGATATTCAGGGTTTCGTTCTGAGGGTCTGTGGGTGGTTCTTAGACTTTTAACATTTCAGGGGATCACACGGTTCATTCGGGAACCCTTGAAAGCAAGCTCCTGAAAGGCCTCGCATCGGTGTGGGTGTCTCAACCTTATTCTTTCTACAAACATAGAGTGCCTAAGGGACTTCTCTGGCGGTCCAGTGGTTAAGACTCTGAGCTTCCACTACCAAGGGCGTGGGTTCGATCCCTGGTCGGGAAGCTAAGATCCCACAAGCCGCGGGGCGTGGCCAAAAAAAAAAAAAAATAGAGTGCGTATCGGGTGTCAAGGATACAACAGGGAACAAAACAGACAAAGATCCCTGGCCTCCTGGGTTCACATTCCATGGCAGGAATAGTGGAAAAGCAAATTAACTGAGTAGATGATCTCTTACCTCAGAGGTGAGGGATGCTATGGAGAAAAATGCTAAGGCCAAAAAAAGGACAAGGAAAAACAGGAGTTTTTTTACAACAACGTCTAGAGACTGGACAGCTTAAATGAACTGTATTCATTTGCCGGGACTCCTGGCAACAAACCTCGAAATTCTTTCCCACTTTTCACTCTCAGATGCTGCAGTGAATAAAAATGTATTCTGCCTCCTTCACAACCACTTGGGAACTTCTCACTGGGTTATCCTGAAGCTCTTAACATTCCTCTCTAGTTTAGGTGGTTTGGGGTGTGTTCTCGGAAGAGCGTGGTGAGACTTCCCGAGCAGGTGTAGCCAGGGCCCCGACGTTCCTGTGCGCGGGCGGCCAGCCAGTTCAAACAACACTCCCCTCCCCTCCAGGGTTCCCGGAACGCGTGGAGCTGGCCCCCCTGCCCCGCTGGCAGCCCGTGGGCGAGAACCTCATCCTGCGCTGCATGGTGTCCGGTGGGGCCCCCCGGGACCACCTCACCGTGGTGCTGCTTCGTGGGGAGGAGGAGCTGGGCCGTCAGCCAGCGGGAGACGGGGAGCCTGCCGAGGTCACAGTCACGGTGCTGGCGAGCAGAGATGACCACGGCGCCAATTTCTCTTGCCGCACGGAGCTGGACCTGCGGTCCCAAGGGCTGGGACTGTTCCAGAACAGCTCGGCCCCCAGGAAGCTCCGAACCTTTGGTGAGGCACTGGGGAGCCAGTAGAGAGGATGGGATGACAGGGGTTTCCTGCTTGGGGTGTGAGGTCTCTGGGAAGGAGAGGCCCCTGGCCGTGGGGGCATTGAGAAGGTGGCAACCTTGATTGCAAAGGTTTCTGGGAAGAGCATCTTCTTGGCCACTGGGGTGGAGTGTTCTGGGATGTGGTGCCTGGACTGCAGGATCCACTGAGAAGGCTGTGACCCAGGGCAAGTGGTACACGTGTCCTGGGACAAGGGTGGCCCAGGCCACAGTCTCCCGGGAAGAGGGTGTTCCAGGTGGGGGAATGAAAATGCCCCGGGAAAGGGCTTCAGGATGTCTGTCTCCTCTCTGTTTACACCCACTGTCTCTCACCAGTCCTACCAACGACCGACCCGCAACTTGCTATGCACCCGGTACTGGAAGTGGGCACACAGTGCCTGGTGAGCTGCACCCTGTATGGACTGTTCCCAGTCTCGGAGGCGGAGGTCCACCTGGCGCTGGGGGACAGGAGGCTGCAAACCACGATCACGTACAATGAATACTCACTCTTGGCCAAAGCCTTGGTCGAGGGAAAGGTGGAGGAAGAAGGCGTCCAGCACTTGACGTGTGCGGTGAATCTGGGAGGGCAGAGCCGGAGGTCTCTGGAGAACGTGACCATCTACAGTAAGTAGAAACCCAGGTGGGGCTTCTGAAGGGGTGGGGCTAATGCCAGGGGCGGGGCTCACTGTGCACCCCACCTCCAGGCTTCCCGGCTCCCAACCTGACCCTGAGCCAGCCCGAGGTCTCGGAATGGACTACGGTGAACGTGGAATGCGAGGCCCAGGCTGGAGCTGTGGTGACACTGAACGGGGCCCCAGCCAGGCCTCCGGGCCCGAGGGCCCAGTTGCAGCTGAATGCCAGCGCCGAGGACAACGGACGCAGCTTCTTCTGCTCTGCTGCCCTGGCGGTGGCTGAGCAGGTGGTACACAAGAACCAGACCCGGGAGCTCCGTGTCCTGTGTGAGTGGGGCTGCTAGACAATGATCCCTTACCTCCAAGGCCCAACCCCTAAGACCCCGAGAACTCCTGCCTCCACCCACTCCCACCCCCACCCTAGTGAGCCCCTTCCCCAGATTCCTACCTAAGTCTTCTTACCTAGACCTAGATGGTGAGTGATGTCCTGGTCCCTGACCCCGTCCCTCATTTTGCTGTGTTTCTTCAGATGGCCCCCGACTGAACGAGAGGGATTGCCTGGGAAACTGGACATGGCAGGAAGGCTCCCAGCAGACCCTGAGGTGCCAGGCCTGGGGGAACCCAACCCCCAAGCTGAACTGTAGCCGGAAAGAGGATGGGGCTTTGCTACCCATTGGCGACCTGAGACCCGTCGAGCGGAAGGTGGCAGGCACCTACCAGTGTCGGGCCACCAGCACTCGCGGTGAGGTTACCCGTGAAGTTGTCATCAATGTGATCTGTAAGTGCTGGAGTTCAGGGCTGGGCAGGGCAGGGGCAGTGAGGGCAGCTCAACCCTCACCGCCCCCTGTGTCCTCCCCACAGACCACCAGAATAACATGGCCGTCGTCATTTCGGTGGCATTTGTGGTCATCTCGGGCACTGTGGGCGCAGCCGTTTACTTCTATAACCGCCAGAGGAAGATCCAGAAATATGAGCTACAGAAGGCCCGGAAGGCCCAGGAAGAGGCTGCCATGAAACTGACCACACCAGCCACGCCGCCCTGAGCCTACCCCCTCCGGACAGGACCTCCTCAGCCCCCAAACTGTGACAAGCAGGGCTGCATCGAACAGTGGTGGACATATGCCATTCAGCTATACCCACCTTCCCAGGGTGCCAGAGGACAGGAGAGAGGCCTCAGTCAGCATACAGACAGCATCTGGGGTCATGGCCCCTGCACACTTATAACCCCCAGGCCTCACACCTGATGTGGAGCCACAGGACTGAGACAAAAGAAGGGGCCAAGGCTCAGGGCATCAATGTGAGGGATGTCAAGGTCTGACCTGGCCGGAGGGTGTATGATGGAGACCCTGACCTCCAGCATGGGGACACCCAACTGGGAAACATTGAAATTCACCCCCTCCTGCGTGTGCTGAGGCCTTACGGTCCTAAGAGAGAAGTGGCCCTGCACAGACACATGCAGCACTGAAACACAAATCCCCACACGTCCTCTGACAGAAGCCAGCACCAGCATTGCTGTCCACAGACTGTTCCCAACTCTTGATGATGACCTATTTATTCATTTGTTCTCTTACTAGCTATTTATTGAGTGCCTTTTATGTGGGCTAGAATGGTAAACAAGAAGAACATTGATTCCCGCCCTCAGGGAGCTCTCAGTCTAATCTCATTCAGGATCGCCAGCTACAGTTGTACTGGTTGTGCACTGCACAAGAGTACCCGGCAAAAAGATTAAGTGGGGCTAGAATTTCCCACTCCACTGGTCAAGCTGCTTTCTCCCAGAAAGGGATTAGTAACGGTGACAAGGTATAGCTGGTGACATGCCCAGAGATGACCCACTGAGCCCTTACACCCCAGCACTGGCACTGACCTCTGATAACCCACCTCTCCACCTATACCCATGTCTGCTAGTGCTCACAATGACACTTGGTGGCATGCCTAAACGTGGGTGTTCACTCCTTGATAGCTAAACCATGGAGTCCCAGGAAACTGTGCCCAACCCCTGTGTGTCCCTGCCTTGTCCTACCTGTTTCCATCTCAGTGGGGCCATGCAAGAACAGAACAGTCTGCAGGTCCAAATTCCTGCAGCGACGAGGGTTCTGCAGGCCGTGGGGAGGAGAGGCCTGGGAGAACCCCCTCCCAACTGCGGAAGCCTCTCCCTTGTGCTAATAAAGCTATTTCATCCTTCTGGCCTTGTGTGAGTTGAGGGGAGGTGTCATGTCCAGCTGGAGCCTTTTCTGGCCTGTCCTCCCATTTCCTGCCCCAAGAGAAGGCTGCCAGTTCAAGGTCCAGCCCTCAGGCTCTAATCCAAATCTGGGGTTTATTAGGGCCTTTTGAGACTTTAGTGAAAATTAAAGATCCCTCTCCAGAAAAACACGATGACATTTGGTTTAGAATGGGGTGGAGAATCCCATTCTTAAGCTGCGGGAGTGGGGTGTATACCGCAGGGCTCCGGGGCCCCCCGGAGCCTCTGTCTCTCTCTGCCCGGGGTGGGGCTGAAGAGGCGGTGCTGCGGGCCTCCTTATCTCCGGAGCCAGCCTTGGCTCCCTGGCGCGGGGCCCCTCAGTCCGGGCTTTTTGCCATGGGGTCTCTGCTCCTCCTCATGTTGCTGCTTTTGCTGTCGCCCTCCTACCCGCGAGGCGGGAGCGCGCGGAGGCGCCGGAGTGCGCGGACGCAAGGCCCGGGAGGCCCCTCTCCCGCGCCCCCGGAGACCTCAGCACCCTTCTGGGTGCGCATAAGCCCCGAGCTCAAGGCCGTGCCGCCGGGGGGCTCAGTGTGGCTCAACTGCAGCAGCAGCTGCCCCCTACCGGAGGGTTCCAGCCTCCGCACCGAGCTGCGGCGAGGCGACACGCTCAGTGGGCCCGGTTGGGTATCCTACCAGCTGCTGGATGTGAGGGCCTGGAGCTCCGATGTGCACTGCTTCGTCACCTGCGCGGGAGAAACGCGGGGGGCCACCGCCAGGATTACCGCCTACAGTGAGGGACAGGGGCTCAGGCCTGGCTGGGGTGCGGGGAGGAGGACGGAGCGGGGGTAACGGACAGTCGCGCTAGGGGGAGCCCTCGGACCTTGCCCAGCGGCCCCCTCTTGCCTTAGAACAGCCACGCAGCGTGATCCTGGAGCCTCCGGTCTTAATGGGCAGTGAGTACACTCTGCGCTGCCATGTGACACACGTGTTCCCCGTGGGCTTCCTGGTGGTGATTCTGAGGCGCGGTGGCCGGGTCATCTACTCCGAGAGCCTGGAGCGCTTCACCGGCCGGGATCTGGCCAACGTGACGCTGACTTACGCGTTACGCGCCAGGCCCAGTGACTTCGGGCAGCCCGTTACCTGCTACGCCCGCCTCAATCTCGATGGCCTGGTGGTCCTCAGTAGCTCGGCACCCATGACGCTGCCAGTCCTCGGTGAGGCACCCTTATAACCCTGGGAAGAGTGGGGAAGGGTTATGTGGGCCAAGCCAGAGCATGTCCATGCGGGTTGTCACACCTCCAAGTGCTCTGTTCCTAATTCTCCCCTCTTGTCTCCAGCTTGGAGCCCTGCGTCCAAAGCCTTGGCCTCCACCTCCATCGCAGCCCTTGTGGGGATCCTTCTTGTAGTGGGGGCCCTCTGCCTGAGAAAGTACCTATCGATGAAGTCTCGGGCATAGAGGCAGTGGTCCATGCTGGCTGAGCTGGAGGAAAAAGGAATCTGGAACATTTGGGGGAACCTTGCCTGGATCAATAAAGCCTTCCTCAGCCAGCTTCTGCCCCTGGGCATAAAGGTCCCCCATTAGTGCACCTCCTCTGACTGAAGTGGTCTTCTTTTTGGCCTTGCCTCTATCATTTTCTCCAAATTCCTGTCTCCCTGAGGGCACCTGAGGTTTTTCACTCTGGTCTCCCATGCCGGAGCCCCATTCCCTCTGCATTCCCAGCCGATGTAGTAAAAACCTCTCCCGCGGGCATTATCAGTGCGGTGCAGAGGGGCAAGGCATGGGCCCAGGGGGGCTTTAGGCTGTGGGAAGGCTGGTTCATGGTATGGCTTCTCCTGATTGGCTCCAGCGCTGCCACGCAGCAGCTCTGATTGGATGTTAAGTTTCCTACCCCCCCCTCGCCCTTTAGACTCTGCAGTTTCCTGGAGGGCAGGGGTGGGGAGAGAACTAATCCCCATAGTTCACCATTAGTTCTGGGAGTGAGAGCACAGGTGGGCTGGGTCAAATGTACTTTGTGAGGAACGTGGATACGCAGAAAAGATACCCATGTGTTGACTGCGGGGAAGGAGCAACCAGATGGTGAGATGGGGGGGGGCGGTGGTGTATGTCACAGATTCGCATCCTGGAAACGTCCTGTTAGTCACCGGGCCTGGTGAGCACGTGGAGGGTGTCCAAACCTGGAACCCAGATGCGGAGTCAAAAGTATCACAGTTGGTCTCTTGGTCTCGCGTGGACGCAGAATCGGGGCCTGCAGTGGATGCCTGGCAAGGCCCGCGTGGTCCAGGGCCCCGCCCGCCGAGCAGAAAGCGGATTCAGAGGCGCTCTTTGGCGGCTCCTGCTCACACAAGTCGCGTAGACACGTGCCCGCTGCACGCTGGGTAAATACAGACCCAGAGCCGAGCCGACCCTAATTTAGACGCCCGAGAACGCTGTGCGCAAGCACACACGTTCCCAACTCGCTGTCACTTTCGTCCCCGCCCCTTCTGTCGCGTGCGGGGGCGGAGCCAGAGAAAGACTAGAGGCGTAGCTGTAACCCTCAGCTCCCAGGGGTTGAAAGGGGAAGGATCAGTGAGGGAGGCATCCCCACATCCTCCCCTAGAGCCTTCTCATCCCCAGCCTGCACGTCTCAAATCTCTCCTAGCCCCCAACCCATCTCCGCTCCAGGGGGTGGGGGGGCTGGTGGGAGGGGCTAAATGTGGAGGCGGAGCTCGGAGTCCAGCTCATTATCACAGCATCTAAGCAAGGGGTGGGGTGGGGGTTTGAGAAGGGCAACCCTGCATTCCCACCACCTCAGCGTCGCCGCCGGGGACGACGCTGGAGTGCGCAGCCGCCCCCAGAACTCTCCGGGCAATGGGGCCGGCCTCCATGTAGACCCTGGGGGTCGATCGCTCCTGCCAGCACGCCTTCATCAAAGCCGGTAGCCTGGTGCACGCTCGCCTTCCCGCCCTCCCCGCGCCGCCTCTGCTGCCGCCCCCTCCTTGGAAACCAAGTTACCAACGTTAAACCAATCCCCAAGCGCAACTCAGCCTCCTCCACACCCCACCCGCCGCGCCGCGCAGTCCTCTAGCCCAGCTCAGCGCTCGCGCTCCCCTCGCCTCCTGCGCTTCCCCCGCGGCGGCGATGCCAGGACCCTCGCCAGGGCTGCACCGGGCGCTGCTCGGCCTCTGGGCTGCCCTGGGCCTGGGGCTCTTCGGTCTCTCAGGTAAGAGCCGGTCCGGCTCAGGGTGGACAGGGCGGGGTCGTAGTTTCTGGACCTGAGAAGCGGCCACAAGCCCCTCCCCGCTCCTCCCTCGCCTCGCTCCCACGCTTCTGCCCCCACCTTGAGCCCAGGGCCTTCTTCTCTATCCCTCTTCCCCCCCAACACACACTGGACACCAAGCTTCCGGACTCCTCGCTCACTCAGGTCTCTACCCTACCTTCTTCGAGATCCTGGGTGCTCTTCTGCACCCAGCCTCGAGCTCTGGAGACCCCATTATCTCCCCTGTCCCCTCCCGGGGTACCTCCTCACGCTCTGCTATGCACCATGGTCCACGGACTGGCATCTTCACCACTCGAAATCCACGAAGACCCAAATCTCACCAACTGCCGTGACTCCTAGGCACTGTTCCCGCTCCACCCGGAGCCCTGGCAACAGAGTCCATCGGCTGTTCCCGCGGTTCCTTTCATGAGCCCAGCCCCGCGTCCTCTTTCCGTACTCTTCACCCGGGTTTGGACTCCTCCCTTAACCTCGCTTGACTCAGCCTCATCTCTCTTTTGCCCTCGCTTCAACCAGTCTCCCCTTCTCCTGGCGAGAACCGTGAGAACCAGTCCGCTTCCCTTCCCCCACCCGGGGTCCCCTCTTCCCAGCATTGCTGTGTGCGTTGAAAACCCCATGTTTCCTCTCATCTCTCCCCTCCCCCCCATTCTTCCCCGTCACTCCGCTGCAATGTACCAGAGACACCCTCGAGGTCTGGACCGTGGGAGCGCGCTTGTAAACCTGAGACCTGGGCAGGACTTGGGACTCCTGGCTGTGGCCTCTGCTCATTCCCTGGGAATCCTGAGTCTGCATAGGGGCTCTTAGATCCCAGGGAGGTGGCTCCCAGGCTGAGCTCGCGTTTCTCCGGGCAGTGGTCGCGCAAGAGCCCTTCTGGGCGGACCTACAGCCCCGCGTGGCGCTCGTGGAGCGCGGGGGATCGCTGTGGCTGAATTGCAGCACCAACTGCCCACGGCCCGAGCGCGGTGGCCTGGAGACCTCGCTGCGCCGGAATGGGACCCAGAGGGGTTTGCGCTGGCTGGCGCGGCAGTTGGTGGACATCCGAGAGCCGGAGACCCAGCCCGTCTGCTTCTTCCGCTGCGCGCGACGCACACTGCAGGCTCGCGGGCTCATTCGCACTTTTCGTGAGTTCTCAGAGGCCAAGCTACTTTCCCTCCCTTCCAGGCCCCGCCCCCTGGGTAACGGGGTCCTCTCCTACAGGCCCCACCCTCTGGATCAGCACGCCCTCCCCCTCTTGGCCCCTGGGTTCCAAGCCACGTCGTGCTGAGCCCTGGCATTTCCAACAGCCGTGGTTCCCCCGTTGCAGAACGGCCGGATCGTGTAGAACTGGTGCCGCTGCCTGCCTGGCAGCCAGTGGGCGAGAACTTCACCCTGAGCTGTAGGGTCCCCGGCGCTGGGCCTCGTGGGAGTCTCACATTGACCCTGTTGCGGGGCGCCCGGGAGCTGATCCGCCGCAGCTTCTCCGGGGAGCCACCCCGAGCGCGGGGTGCGGTGCTCACAGCCACGGTACTTGCTCGGAGGGAGGACCATAGGGCCAATTTCTCGTGCCGTGCGGAGCTGGACCTTCGGCCGCATGGCCTGGGGCTGTTTGAAAACAGCTCAGCCCCCAGAGAGCTCCGAACCTTCGGTGAGTGGGTGTGAGGAGGGGACCCAGGGGGGTCGGGCCGATGTTTAAGAAGCTTGGAGGCAGAGAAATCTGAATTCTAATTCTTACCCTAACACTCACCAGCGGAAAGTTATTTTCCCCTCTGTGCC